ATAACAATGTATGTGATGATTGGTCTGACTAAAACTATGTACATCCAGAATATCTTAGCTGGTCTCAGATCAGAAAAGGTTCTTCGACACTGTACGAAAACTTTCAGCGCAAGATAGGCGGGTTTCGACATAACTTCTACATAAGTGCAACGGAAGTTATGTTATCAAATTACTACCATTTATTTGGTCCATGGAAGTAAAGTCTGACATTACTTCCTTCCACAGATCTGTTTCATAGAAGTGCGAATCATGCTGAAATCCAGACCCGTAGGTGGGCTGCGTGAATTCTAATCCAAAAGTATTCAATCACTGAAATCAAAAAGTGAAAAGTTGTGAGAAGCTTCCCATACGATGTACTGCTTGTCTGCTATCCGTAAGGCTTTCTCGAGGTGTGTCGGCTTGGAATCTGCGTTTCTCTACAAACACCGGTTCATTACCAACAAAATGGTTACCGAACAGAAACCTGCCCGCTCAAAGCTACAATTAGTGGCAGTTAACCGACGCTTCTCCTCGGATCATGGTACTCGTATTCAATAGTTGCATAGCAACAGCCAAGCAAGCTGCTAAAAATTTTGCTACTGCTTCAAAAAGTGCTTCGATCTCGAATAATGATCGATATCCGTCAACAAATAGCGGCTGTCAGCTTTGCACAACGCTACCATAAACACCAAGTGAAAACAAGTTCCGACGATATAAAAGCAGAATTTTCAACAACGAATGCTTCAAGGCACCACAGACTAGCATGTAGCTTGCCAAATGCTCAGAGGCTTCAATATGAAGATTAGCCAATGGAAGAACCTTTGCCGTACGGCTACCCAGGAACGCCAGGTAAACTGTGCGGAATGGAGTTACATAGTAGCTGGTTGGAAGTCTAGCAGTTTGGTGAATTCTGTCGACGCGCAGATTAGCAGGTACTCTCGGTAGTTGAACAATTTAAGATTTTATATCAAAGCGGTCTAGTGAATAACTGATCTCATTTCGTTGGGAAATTCTTTATGCACCGGCCGGAAGAGCTATTCTCTATACTACCTTCCCACTAATACCCAAACTCCCACCGCCCGCGCAAGAATGCCACATCTGGCACCACAATTCTGTATGTCTTCAGATGCAGGAGCGCGCTACTTCAGCCTCAAGCCTGCTCGTTTGTAGGGGCGTTTCATTTGGGTGTCCTCAGTAGACATCCGCCTTCTCGTTTGCAACGGGGTACGAATTTCACGTATCTCGAAACTGTTTTTCTCACTCGTCTGCACTGGAGATCATTACCCCAATTACGTTGTTCGGGGGTTACGTCTCCGTATCTTTCTTCCAATATTCTGCGTGAAACCAAGAAGTGCTCGCAAGTGAAGAATGTATGGTGTACGTTATCTTCGACGTTTCCACCGTAGTGACAGAACGGTGAGTCTACCCTGCCCATTTTATGAAGATATTCTCGGAAGTAACCACGAACGGTGAGGAATTGCGTCAGGTAGAAATCGACTTCCCCGTGTGGTCTGTTCATCCATGTTTAAAGGTCGGCATTCAGGTTGTGCTTCCATCGACCTTTTGTGGCCGCGTCCCAGTTTTGTTGCCATTGCAGGGTTAGTTGCTCGCGGCAGCTGCTCGGCCTATATCGGCACTCGTAAGCAAGTAGCTCAATTGGCATGACGCCAAACATAACTAGAACCGTATCCGCGGACACTGTACGGTATGCAGAAGCAATGCGTAGTGCCCCTCTGCGCTGGACCGAAGACATTTGAGTCTGGTATTTTTTGACTTTCCATTGCGTCGGCCCATATTTCTGCCCTGTACAGGATCACCGACTGAACTGCTGTCATCAAAAGTTTCCTACGTCATGGCTTCGGGTCGCCCACGTTCGCCATCAGCCATCTTAGAGCCACCGCGCAGCTTTTTCAAATACTCCTCGAATGTGTTCCCAGAATGTGAGTTTGTTGTCAAGCTTCACCCGTAGGTATTTTGTAGATATAAAAGTTGCCACGGGCTGAGGTCCGACCATAACTTGTAATTGTTGTGATTCGTTTTTGGCTAGGAGATGTTTTGGCTGTAGCCAATTGCAGACCGTGATCGCTCATCCATCCACTGACGCTCCGCGCAACCTGGTTCAGCTTGAGCTGCTGATGTTTCTTGCTGTTATGACGACGGCCACGTCGTCCACGAAAGCGACAAAGCAGGCGCTCTCCGGCATTTCCGTGCACAACAGACTGTCATGTGTGGCGTTCCAGAGGTCTAGGCCAAGTACCCGCCCCGCCTCCTTTTTTTTTGACCTTGTCGTACAAAAGCCAACGGTCTCTGAGGTAGTCCCGAATCATATTTAGGAAGTCTGTTGGGACTTTAAATGACCGTTCCAAGGCCTCCAGCATGTCGTCCCATCTTGCCCAGTTGAAGGCGTTATTGACGTCCAGTGTGACTAGCACCATTAATATTATTACTAGTGTAAACATAACCATTACCAATGGCATTGCCAATACCATAACCGTTACAATCTATTTTGATTACCATTATCATTACCATTATTTAAACCATTGCCGTTTGCATTACTATTACCATTGCCATTACCATAACGACTATCATTACCATTACCAGTGCCATTACCATTACGACTATCATAACAATTATAATTGTCATTTACCATTACTATTACCATTACCATTACCAATACTTTTACTTTTACCATTACCATTACTATACTACTACTATTAGTTACTTTTACCGCTGCCATTACCATTATCATTATTACCATTACCATTACTTTAAACACTACCATTACCATTACTTTTACCATTACTATACCACTACCATTAGATACTATTACCGCTACCATTACATTGAACATAGCAATGAGATACGATTACCTTTAATTGCCATTACAATTACCATTACCACCACATTTCATTACTATTACCAAAAAACCTTTAACTTTACAATTCCAAAAAAAGTCAGTAGTCTGCTTTATCTCTTTTTAATATAAACTGCACGGCGTAAATTTTTGAAATTCACTAAATTACTAAAATCTAAATTAATATGCGTTATATAATTCCAACGCCCAGCGTTGCAGCTCTTAAAACACCGCAAAATGTGAAAACCTCAGACATAGCAGCAACAAATACGCTAAATGAAAAAAGCCGCATGCAACAACACCCAAAAGTAAAATGACGACGGCTCCCATATTTTATAAGTTCTTAAGTGAATGTGCGTGTGTGCGTCTGTGTAGTGGCATGCGCTTGTGTCGTGGCAACAACATGGCGTTACTCATTATGCCAGCGAATGCCGAAACAAAAGCAAAGCGCCAACGTCGTATGCTAAAGCTTGGGAGTAGCACCAGCTGAGAAGGAGGAGCAGAAAAGCTGAAGTTCGCGTAAAGGCATTAACAAACACAAAAAAAAAAAAAACACGATAACGAAAAATAAGCACAGTGACAACAACAACAGCAACAGCAAGTGGTCGCGCCAACAAAATATGTACGTGAAAACAACAAAAACAAAAACAAAAACATTTAACAAATAGGATTGGCGGCATGGACACTCGCTTTGCTAAGCGCCAGCAGCTAAAAAGGAGGATAAGAAAAAGAAAAAACTTGCAAAGGGCAGCAACGAATGAAGCAAAACGGCGAGTTGCGCGCAAAAAAAAAGTGAAAATAAATTATGGAAAAGTCGAGGTAGGCGAGTTGTTGGCAAGTCGCATGGCTGGTGAGTGTGGGCGTGTGTGTGTGTGTGTGTGTGTGTGTGTGTGTGTGTGTTTGTGTTAGCCACAGCGATGATGGCGCTCACGAATGTCCGTTCTTACTGCGATGGCGACAGCAGTGGTTGTAGGAGTCATGTGGCGGCTGGTTTCAAACTCATTTTCGCATATGCCACACGTTAAGCCGGTCAGATGGCGGCTTAGTCAGCGGTGGCAATGAGAGCTATGCCGGCGGCTGCGGTGGCATCTATGCTCGTGAATACCACAGCGAACGAATGTGGTTAAGCTTATCTAATCCTCTAATGCACACGCGAAGTTGATTATGCCGCCAACAAACAGACATAAACACCGCTGCAAATACACGTATATGGGTATATAAATAGATCCACGTAAGCCACAGTCATTGGCGCGCTTGTTAGAGTATGTGCCAACAAACGCCAAAAGCTGTAAAAGTTCGCCTACTAGCGGCAAGTTGGATGCGGCGCGAATGAGCCGGCCATGTTACACATACACATGTACATCGTTGCCAACACTAGATATTTTTGTACCTAAATGCTTTGGGTTGACTAGCAACTGCCAACTGCCAACTGCCCAGTCCAGTCCAGCGTCTGCCTCGTGTTAGTTTGCCTTCTTCTCTTGCTGCCGTCCTTTTATTCATTCAGCCTTACAGCGAATTAAGGTTTCTTATTTCGTGTCAAACTCGTTTGCTACTTCAGCTGTGGTCCGTCCTCCGCCCAGCCGCTATGTGGCACTGCCTCTAGCTCACTTCAACATTTAGTACATACATATGTATGTATGTTTGTATTGCCATGGAAGCACCACTAACACTACTCGAATATGGTTGGCGAATGGAATGTTTGCCAGCTGCGGCTAAGTTAAGGTGTTCTTTTGTGTCACACATCCAGGCAATGGCGGTGTAGATATATGGAATGGCATGTGTATGCGAATGTGCACGACCGCGTGAATCTTTGGATTAAGCAGTAAGCACTGTGCTGATACCAAAGGTCTAAGTATTTGATGGTGGCAGTAAGGGTATGTGGCACGCTATACATATGAATGTGCGATGTTGGTGCTGTTGAAACCCTGCAAAGTTATTTATTTCCTGAAAGTATTAAAGTTTGCTATTAAGTGCGGCAATTTTGCATACTTGCATGCTTATAAATACTTATTCACATATATGTACTTACATACGTGTGTATGTTTGTACATAGGTATTAATGGGAAATTACAGAAGCATCATATGTTCTCCAAGGAAAGCGATGAGCCAGGGTCTAAGCAGCATAGCTGTCAACCAATTGGACTTTTAGCTAAGCAACGAGATAGCTTTATGGCGTATATGTATACATATGTGGTGGAGCAATACATTTATATAAACTTCCAGGATTGCCAACAAGCAACAAAATGTATTGCTTTTTCTCCCCGCCAGCATTAGTATTACATTTATTACCATTACTAGTACGATTACCAACATCATTACTATTAAAATTATCATTACCACTACCATTTATCATCACTATTATCATTGCTTTATTCATTACCATTAGTGTAATTACCATTACCATTGCCATTACCATTACCTTTACCATTACCATTATGGTTACTATTACCATTACTATTACAATTTACAATAGCATTATCATTATCATTGCCATTACCATTACCATTATTAATACAATTACTATTAAGATGTCCATTGCTGTTATCATCATCATTATCGTTACCATTTCCATTACCATAGTAATTAATTTTATCAATACTATTACCATTATCCTCATTATTACCATTACTGTTACAATTTCCATTGCCATTATCATTATTCCTGCCATTTCCAATAATTACCTTAATCATTTTCATTACCATAACCAATAAGATTGCCATCATTACCAATACCAATTACCACTTTAACTATCATTATACCGCCTACACTTCTGCATTCGCTTGAACCAATTTTTAAAGCACTTTTGCCACTCAGAAGTGGATAAAGGCTTCAACAGCTACTTCAAGCATTGGAAACGTCGACCTCGCATTTCATTTTTGATGTTCGGGAACAAAATGAAATCATTAGGTGCCAAATAAGGGCTGCAAGGCGGATTACGCATTAATTCGATATTTTGAGTGCTCAAAAACTCTCTTGTGTGTGCCGATACGTAGGAGCTTGGCATTGGCTTGGTGAAGGATGCTTCGTCTTCGGCGGTTGGTTTTCCTTAATTATCCAAAAACGTCTGGCAAACAAATGGTTGCGTACCACTCAGAATTGACTGTTTTAAGTTTCTCTAGTGGTACAGTTGCGACAGGACCAGATTTTCCAAAAAAAAAAAAAAAAACAGGCGACCATTTGCCTTGAGCTGATTCGTCCGCGAACAACTTTTATTGGATTAAGCTCGTCTGTAAACACCCATACCGTCGATTGCTGTTTTATTTCCGGCTTATATGCATAAGTAGATCCAAGATTCGTCACCTATTACGATGTCATAGACGTGCATTGAACCGCAGCGGCTAAATTTATTCAACATTTCTTTACACCAATCGACATGGCAAATTTTTAAAATTTGCGGTATCCAACGAGAACAAATTTTTTTTAAACTATTATTGAGAAGTGACTGGGTATGTGAAACCGTCTATGTATGACTAGATTTCGAAAAGGTTTCCTAAATAGATATTTAAACCCTTATTGAGAGACTCCAACCGACTAACGGGCTGCTGTAGTGCTTTTTAGGAAAGAGAAAACCAAGTACAAGAATATAATTCTTAAAAGGTTTCTGCTCTCACAAGTTGAGGTGGGGGGCTGAGCCCTCCATTAGTGAACAACGTGGATCTTGCTAAAGCTTTCCAACCAACGAACATAGTTTTCAGGTTCGCAGTTTGTTCCAAAGTTTAGCAATTGTTGCCTTTTATAAAATTTTGTCATAAAAATAAGTTTCGCACTCAAAAGGATGCACGTCGATAGGGAAGACCAATTATTACCTTCCCCCAAAAAATCCATCGATTCACATAAACAAGGTTAGAATGCTGAAACAAATGTTTTTCCTAGATAAAACTCTAGTGTTTCCAATATAGTATAGAGCTGACTTTAGAGCGACTGCTCTACACCAAGAAGCACAAGGACATGTCCTTGCAGAAGCTTCTGCGCGATGCCACGGTGCCTCGAGTTATTTCTCGCTGTGGGTTATAATGAGTAAAGCGACAATTGAACACTACTAACTACTGAATATGCACCGGCTCTTTGTCTCCCTTGTTCTACGTAAGCTCTCTTCCCATAATTGCTTCCCATTGCATTTGAAGCAACACCAGTTGCAGCTGAAAGCTCGATCTGTCTCTTATCTATCGCAGCTGTGTACGATTGTATTCTGAATATTTAACAAGTTCATACCTACCTATTCTTAACAGGGACCAAGAATGCGTTCCTGTTTTTGTTTAGTTCTGCATGAGAACAAAATGTAATATGAAGAACGTTCCCACAAAAGAACTAAACGGGAACAAGTGTATTGAGAGCAGTTTGAATGGGAACAAAGTGAGAACACAATGTTCGGCAACGTTTGCGTAAAGAATAAAATGCGAGTACGTTCTGAAGAAGAAAAAATGAGAACGAAACTTTCGTTCCCACAAAAGAACTAAACGGGAACAAAATTATTCCGAACGTTTTAATTGAGAACGAAAGTATCGAGAACGTTTTCACTGAGGATGAAATAAGAACAAAAGTCTGGGGAACGTAATGCTAGAGATCAAACGTATTGAGAACGTTAAGAATTATAGGGACATCTACGTGTTAAGACGAAAAATCGGTTAACTGAAAACCATGATTGTTAACTCTAAGCCAGAGGATATCTGGATAATTTAAACTTCTACATCATTTACCATTTGTGGAACAATTTTTCATTTATTGTTGAACATTGACTTAATCTGCATAATTATCTTTCAGTGCTTTTGTGTTTATTTTTAATATTCAAACATTTCAAACTTATGGAACGCTATGAGAGAAATTGTGTTATCGCTTCCATTCTTCGCGAATAGTTCATAGAAGATTTGTTCCCGTTCGTTCTCTGTCAGAAAATTCCTGAGACTTAAGTTCGCAAATGGTTCGATAGAAAGACTTTTGCTCCGATTTTGTTCTTTGTCAGAACGTTTCGGAGACTTTTGTTCGCATTTTGTTCTCTTTGCGAACGTTCCACAGGATTTGGTTCTTATATAATTCCCATTTAGAACGTTCTCGACAGTTCTGTTCTTACGATCGTTCTTGTGAAAACATTCTCGAAGATATGGTTCTCATCTCTGTTTGGCTTTTTAAGCGTTCTTGGAACAAAAAAACTATGAGAACGTTATACTTGTCAATTAGTGACTTAAAAAAATGCGTGTATCACACCAAGACCTAAATATACTGCGAACCTGAAAGATCTTTTGTATTCAAGGCAAGAGTTACCTAACAGTGAATATAGAAGTTACCTTCGGGTTTTATAATAAATGTTAAAAGAACTTTGGTAGAGGAAATCATAATTCTTACTTACTCGACTAATCTGACTAAGATGGAATAATCACTACGAATGTACTGTGAAGTTTCATTGTCTTTAAGACAGAGCCGCCAATTCGTTGCATATGAAAATGTGGTTGGTTGGTGGTGGAGTGACTAAATCTCCAAAAATTAACGTACAACCTGCTCTATTGAAGAGTTTAAGGCGCCTTAGGATCCCTTTTAATTATGCGTTCATAGTCTACCTACTCAGTAATAATTCGTCTCGAAGAAGACCGCTTGAGCTCACAAACTTGTTTCGATGCCATAGGGACAGTTGAGGATCCTTCTCTTCCTTAGAAAATGAAGGTATGTAACAGCTCTGTCGGGAGTTCGAATAATAGCTGCTTCGATACCAACAATTTTTTTTTTTCAATTAATACTGGGTATTCTTAGAGATTTTTTTTTAAGCGAAAACATGGCAACCCTATGGCTAAAACATAAACGTGATTTCGTTACTGACACGTTTCTCTGTGCTTAAAAAAGCGAAGCATAGTTACGTTGATTCATACATACATACATAAGTGAGGTAAAATATGTACATATGCTGGCCCCTAACATGGACGTAAACGTATGTACGTAATATGTACATATACATATGTATGTATGTATGTATCCATATGGAAAAAGTAATTTAAAAGCAATCTAAGAAGCAAGCAGCAGCAGCCGCCCAAGAAAAAAACGTGCGGACTATTGAAAAAAACAAATGCGGAACGTAAGCGACAACAACAATTTTAGCAAAAAAAAAAACAAAAGAATGAACAAACAAGTAAGAAAGTCTAAGTTCGGGCGGAGCCGAACATTAAATACCCGGCGCAAGTTTTCCACCTTTCCGAAAGCTACCGCTACATGATAAGCCGGGGTGTATACATTTTAAGTAAATTAGCGTCCTTAAATTTCGAAATATTGAAATTTAAAGCATATCTGAAATTTACCGTTATATGAAAAGCGGCCTCAATTTTAGTCCGATTTCAACAATTTTCAACGGTTTGCTTTTATGTGGCAAGCACAATAACCATACCGAGCTTGGTACAAATTGCTAGAACGGTTAGCGAGATACATATATGTGATCACAAGTGGGCGGTGCTACGCCCATTTTCCAAAATTTTGTCATAAACGTATTTCTTGGTAAAGAATTGTTGCAATCATCAATTTTGAATAAATTAGCTTCAATATTTACTGATTTATCGAAGATTTTGTATTTCTCGAAATTACCGTTATATGGGATGTGGGCGGGGTTATTGTCCGATTTTAGAAATTTTCGGCCAGTTGGTATGCTGTACCAGGACCAACAACTGTGCCAAGTTTGGAAGAAATTGGTGTAGCGGTTACCAAGATATACACATGTAACCATAAGTGGGCGTGGCTACGCCCATTTGCCAAAATTTTGTAATATTCTTATTTTTCGTCTAAAACTCATTGCAAATATCAATTTTGAGTGAATTATCTTCAGTAGTTACTAAAATATTGCAGTTTTCGTTTTTCTGAAAATTACCGTTATATGAGAGGTAGGCGTGGTTATTGTCCGATTTTTAAAATTTTCAGCCATTTAGTATGCTGTACTAAGGCCAACAACTGTGCCAAGTTTGGAAGAAATTGGTGCAGCGGTTACCAAGATATACACATGTAACCATAAGTGGGCGTGGCTACGCCCATTTTCCAAAAATTTATAATATTCATGTTTTCCCTCTGAAACTCATTGTAAGTATCAATTTTGAGTGAATTATCTTCAGTAGTTACTAAAATATCGCAGTTTTCGTATTTCTTAAAATTACCGTTATATGGGAGGTAGGCGTGGTTATTATCCGATTTCGCCCATTTTCAATACCATCCGTCCCACGCCCAAAAGAAGTTCACGTACCAAGTTTCGTTAAGATATCTCAATTTTTACTCGAGTTATCGTTTGCACAGACGGACAGACGGACGGACGGACGGACGGACGGACGGACGGACGGACGGACAGACAGTCATCGCTTAATCGATTTCTCTTTTCATTCTGATCATTTATGTATACATTTGTCTATATCTATCTCGATTCGTTTTGCCTGTTACAAACAACCGTTATGTGAACAAAGTTATAATACCCTTGTGCACAAGTGCGCTCGGGTATAAAAAAAGTTTTACAAGATAGGTATGCATGTAAGAAATGCTTGTGTTTTAGCAGTTGTTTGAGCTTGAGTTGGTAATATCTACATATATACATATGTGCGTATGCTTGTGCAAGTGAGCTTAATTGAAGCACATGTGTACGCTGCTGTGGTACGAGAGAAGGCGCGCAGGGTGCTGCAGTGGGGATATTTGAGTGATTTTGTGCCTCACCATTCATTGGCTCGGCGGTGTGCAT